TATGTGGCATTCATGAGTTCTGAAAACTTAATGAAATTTGGGTCTTGTTCTCCTATCCACATTCCCATCCCCAGTACCTTTGTTGCCCAAATTTGTACGGATGGCTTGGGAACATTTAATGGTCTTTAAGTGTAGGAGTCATGGACTTTCTAGGTTTAGTGAACAGTTTGGTACCAAGACACCAATAACTGAAATCATTTATCACATAAAACTCTGGTACCTCTGCCTCCCTCCTCCCCATACAATCTCCTCTTCTGTACTTCTAGCTCAACTCCAGATTGTTCTGAGACCCGATGGGTCTTGTTAATTTTTATTGGAAAAGTTTCAGCTGTGGGATCTAGCACTTAGAGCCTCAGGAGATGGAGCCTGTGGTGTATTAACTATGCATTGTTAAGAATGTGCTTTCATTTGTAAAATCGAACAAGAACACCTAATACCCAGAGAGGGAACATAGTTTTCATAGCACGCTTTGTAGGCCTAGATAAAATCATTGTTCAATATTTAATTATGCTTACTATAGAACCACTACAGCAAGCTTAGTTTAAAATAAAAGAAAAAGAAAATTGAAACTATGTTAAAGTTTTTATACCTAGTTTTATTTGTTTATTTTATTTTGTTTTAAGGTAAGTTACTACTATGTAGCTCTGGATGGCCTGGACCTCACTATGTAGACCAGGTTGGCCTCAAACCTACAGAGAGCTCTTCCTCTGCCTCCTGAGTGCACACATTAAAGGCCTATTCTACCACAACTATCTAGATTTTTTTAATTTTATTTATTATGTATACAGTCTTGTGCCTGCATGCCAGCAGAGGGCACCAGATCTCATTCAGGGTGGTTGTGAGCCACCATGTAGTTGCTGCGAACCGAACTCAGGACCTCTGGAACAACAGTCAGTGCTCTTAACCGCTGAGCCATCTCTCCAGCCCCTTATCTAGATTTTTTTTATAAGTCTAGTCTCATGTAGCCCAGGCTATCTTCCAACTTGCGGAATAGCCAAGGTTGACCTTTTAGCCCCCCCTGCCTCCACTTCTGGAATTACAGGTGTGCACGCCCATACTCAGTTGTATGTAGTGCTAGGTGGGACTCAGGGCTCTGAGCATGCTAGACAGGTACTCTTCCACCGACAAGTTACATCCCTAGCCTCACGACAGCATTTTAACTCATATCTTTCAGTTTCTCCTCACCTTCCCTTCCTGTCTTAGTTAGAGTTCTTATTGCTGTGAAAAGACACCATGACCATGGCAACTCTTATAAAGAAAACATTTAATTGGGGTAGCTCACTTACAGTTTCAGAGATTCACTCCATTATCACCATTGTGGGGAGCATGACAGTGTTCAGGCAGGCATGATGTTGGCTGCATCTTGGCTTGCGGAAATAAGAAGTCAGCTGAGGTTTCAGAAGTCATCTTTGAGGTTTCCTGTGCTCAGGATTCCTAACCTCAAAGCCCTCACACCTCCTAATAGTGCCTCTCCCTGAGATTATGGGGGGCCAATTACATTCAAACTATCACACATCCTTTCCCCCTTCTCTCTTCCTCTTCCTTTCCAGCTCTCTTGAGATTATTATAGCCTTTTAACCAGGTGTATTGTTGTAAACCTACAATCGTAGCATTCAGGAGGGTAAGGGAGGATATACCAAGAGTTTTGAGGCCAGCCTATGTTATTTAATGAATCCTGTGTCAAAACAAACAAACATACAAATGAAGAGACTATTATAACCTTTTTAGCCCCAGTTTTCCCTTCTGTATGTTCACATGTGTATGGGTACACTTATGTACATAGGCCCAAGGTTAATTGATACCAGGACTTGTCCTCTTCTACCTTATTCTTTGAAAGAGACTCTGTCAATCAAACCCAAAGCTTGCCAATATGGATAGTCTCACATTGCTCCAGGAATGGCTTGCCTCCACCTTCCAAAACTGAAACTATAAGTGGACTACCACACTCATGTTGCATTTTGTGGGTTCTGGAGAGCTAAATTCTGATCATCTTACAAACACTTTCACTGCTGTGCTGTCCCCCACAGCCTTTGAACTGTATATTTTAGCTCCAGACTTGATGTTTAACCTATCCAACAACCTGAAGAGTTATATTAGTCTCTACTGCACAGATGAAAAAATCCGACACTCTGGGAGATTAAGTTCTTGTCCAACTCAGTCAACTAAAGAGTAGTGCTTATTGAATGCTTATTTGATAGTTCTTAGTTTGTTGCATATAAAAACACACCCCTGGCCCCAGTCTCATGGAACCACAGTCTCCCACAATGCAGCAATGAATTATTAACCAAAGTCAATTGGTAGATACAGTTCAGCCTCTGAAACCTTGAGTGTGAAGCAGGCAGCTAAGCACATCACTGGCCTGTTGGCTAGGGGGCTTTTTCAGTGTCATGGTGTCTCTTTTTAGTTTGGTTTAGATTGGGCTGTTAGTCAGCTTTCCATTTCTCTATCAACTACTTGCAAAGATGAGCTTACAAGAGGAAGGGTTTGTAATAGATCACCATATTAGGGGCTTTGGTCTATAACCGGGCGACTTTCTTGCCTTGAGCTTGTGGTGAGGCAACAGATCTTGACAGGAACATGCGACAGAGCACAACTGCTCACTTCATGGCCAGAAAGCAAGAGATGGGAAGAAAAGGCTGGGGTCCCACTCTCTCCCCTTCAGGGGCACACCTCTAGTGATCAGAGGACCTCTCCTTAAGTCTCACCTCCTAAGAGCTCCAGCCAGGGGCCAAGCCTCTGACACACAAGCCTGCAGCTGCAGTTTAGGAAGACATCATCCAGGTTAAGGAAGAGATAGTCAGTCGACACCCTTCCTGTCCCATCATACCCCAGTTTGTCAATCTGTTGAAGGGGTGTGAAGCAGAGTCTTCAGAGTTTCCTGAATTGGAATGAGAAAAAAGACAGGAACAAGGAATATTAGAATGAGTGCCTTAGCATCAAAAAGATGGCTCCATAGATAAAAGTGCTCACTGTACAACACCCACCTCAGTTCTTTCTCTGAAATCCAGCAGTGGCACAAATCTGCAATCCCCTGCTGCAAGATAGGAGTCAGCGATGGGAGGATCACACCATAGCAGAAAACAAAAGAGATCCTGTCATAGGCTAGAAATGACAACCAAACATTATCCTCTGACCTCCATATGGGCCTGACAGCTAGCATGTGGTTATTCTAGACAAAGGCAGCACTGGGAATACTTGGAATTAGCTGTCTTGGGGAACCACTGATCCCACGTGTTAGTTTCCTGGCTTCCTGTTCTCTGGCTGAAACCCTGGACAAATGCTGTGTGGTACAATTTTCCAGCCTTGACAAG